AAGGAAGATCCTATTCAGCATAGACTGCATACTGGATTTTTTTCATTGCTTTATTTTATCAGGAGATAACTCGAACTGTGTTAAGCTGTTAGACATATTTATGCAAAATATATGTTGTCTTTTCCATCTAAAAGTTGTATGCCACAATAACTTTTCTTTTGATTTCCATCAGGTGATTGATCTAGGTGGGGAGAGCATTAAATCCAATGAGTACTTCGGAAATGGCCGAGTAACTGAATTCAAATACGGTGCAAAACTAGGGACAGTCATTCGCAAGTGGAATGGAGAAAAGATGGCTTATTTGAAGTAATTTTGCTTTATAGCTTTTCTGTTTTTTAAGATTCCTGAACACAGTTCATCTGACTCTTGCTCTCGTCTGTTTAGGAACTGGGGTGAAGGCTGGAGTTTTATGCCTTCTGATAAAGCTGTGGTCTTTGTAGACAATCATGATAATCAGAGAGGTCACGGGGCTGGTGGAGCTTCCATTTTGACCTTCTGGGATGCCAGGTGAGAAGCACTTTTGAAGGTTCACCTGCTGATTGCTTCTTTAGGCTAAGTGGGGCAACTGCCTCAGGTAGGAGGATTTGGGATAGTAGCAACGGTTTCTCAATTGTTCTTCCTGAGTCCTTCAGTTCTTCCTCTCTTTTGGAAGGCAGAGCTGTGAGTGCCACGCAGCCTGTTCTGCATCCCTTAAACTAGCCAGTTACTCTCAACTCCACTAAAAGACCTGCGTTGAAAAAAGATTTAACTATCAATCCAGATTGCTTCTGTGTGTGTGGAATGGAGGTAGCTATCTTTTCTCTTGATCTCAGGCACCAAAATGTCTAGCATCAGGTCCAGAAGGCCTGACTAAGTCCTCTTCTTGCTAGAGAAATATAAATCTTAGTTTCTGGTTCTCTCTTTTATTCCATATTTAGGCTCTATAAAATGGGAGTTGGCTTCATGCTTGCACATCCGTATGGCTTTACAAGAGTCATGTCAAGTTTCCACTGGCCTAGATATTTTGAAAATGGAAAGGTCAGTGTCTATTTTGTAAACTTAACAAACAGCTTGGGGAAATGAGTGGCATCTATTTATTATGTAAATAGTGTAAAGGAGTTGAACTTCACCTCTCCACAAGAAAGATGGAATCTGGGGTGCCCTGATGGGTGTCTTTTATTAGGAGAATGATGTGGCTACATTGATTCCTCTTCACCCTCAACAGTATTTCATAATATTGTCCATGTTAGCAGGGCAGGAGTGTGAGGTCCTCGCCTAACAAAGACATGGACCTCGCCTAACGAACACTTCACTTAACAATAAAATTCCAGTCCAAATTAGGATTGTTAAGCGAGGACTACCTGTACATCTCTTTCTCACCATGCAGTGAGGGGAACTCTGCTGTCACTTTTCAGCCACATTGTCAGAGAGGTTCTGTGTACTACAAAGAAGGAGTTTGGAGACTTCAGGGCTCCTGGGGCTACAGGTTGCACCCCACTGCTGAAATGCATTGCATGGGGGTTGAACTGAAGTTTGTCCCTGAAGTTGCTATTGCCATATACCAAAACAATTCTGAGGGAGCTTCACGTCCAGTCACATCCCCTTTAAAGCTTTAAATGACTTGAAACTTAATATAACTGAAATAATGCTTCTCTATATACCAGGCTGCCATTGCCTGAAAATATTTCTCTATAGAAATGCAACCAGCACCATCATTAATATCTTTTCATTGTTGGGATAAAGCTATTCATAGTTGTTTGGGGGGCCATTTCACCAGTTTGTTGGTCCTTTGATATTTTATGGCTTTTTACATCGTTTAATTAGTGTGTTCTGTTTTGTGGTATTATTTTCTAGACCAGACAGATATTTTGGGGATGAAAGGCAGTTTTAATTAGTAGTAGTAGTAGTAGTAGTAGTAGTAGTAGTAGTAGTAAAAATAATTCTCTGTAATAATAAAATATGTGTCTATATATTATATAATATATTATAGAAATAGAAATATTAGAAATATATTATAGAAATAGTAATAGTCCTTGGGAAGGTCTCAATAGGTGGATAAAAATGCCAAATCCAGTCTAAACATCTGGCTGACTGTACAACCAATCATAATATGATTCAAGTTTCAGTAAATGGGGGGGAGGAAAAAGTATTTGAAATAATAATAATAATAATAATAATAATAATTATTATTATTATT